CATTTACTTTCTGTGAAATGCCTTTATTTCATAGTAGTAAAAATCATTCTTCTGTCATCAGGTCAAGGCTGGAAGATTCATTTAATCATGTTTGTATGCCCAGTGCCCATAAAATTCTTGGCATATGGTAGATATTTTGTAAATGTTAATGGAACCAGATTATCTCAAATCCTAAATGTATAGAAATCAATAAAATTGTACTGCATGAAAACTAAATTTACATTTATCTAAGATTACAAGTTGTTTTAATGTTCATTAGACTAGAAGCTATTAAAGTATACATTTAGAAATCCTCAACTATTTGTTGTAAATATATTTACCCTATCACATTTTCCTCACTAATGTCTATTAAGTAATGTTTTTGGAGTTTTATATTCAGACTTAGATGAATCAATGACTATTAGAATGGCAGGGGTATAATGACCTTGATAAATGATTACTTCAAATGTTCAAGCAAATAACAGTCTGTCAAATTCCTGGACATTAGAATTGGACTTAAGTCTGATGAAAGTAACTTGAATTACAAGAAAAACCATGACTTTTCTCATTTTTCCTCTGCACATCAGAAATTACAACAGACTGCTCTAGTGACATCTAGAAAAGTACTTTATCTAGGAAGCAGAGCTTTCTGTAAAGTGACTTAGGTAGAAAAATTTAAATGTAGACAAGATATCGACAGTCTTTTGTGAGTGTTATTTCAGCCCTCATATTGATAAGCTAACTTTCTTTATGCACTTGTCCATTAAAGTCTTAAACAAGTGCTCAGGGTTGTGAGGTATAGCTATGGTAGAATACTTGCCTAGTATGGATGAGGCCTGGGTTCAATCTCAAGCACCATAAATAAAAACTGTTAATTAGAATGAGGGATGGTCCGAAGTTTAAGGAGACCCAGGATTCATAAGATTCTTCATAAATGAAGAAAAGTATTCTAGTACATCCAAAGGAAATGTAGCAGTTGCTCTTTACCCTTTGTTACTAGCCCCAAAGTATTTTCTTTTTCCTTCCCTTCTCTATGTATAAAATATTAAATAAAAAGGTAAATATTACATAATGTAATATTGACAAACTTAATATCTGTTACTAATCATCAGAAGAAATTTAAGCAAATTACAGAATCCTCTACCAAACTATTAACACTATTGACTGTTTAGTTTAAAAATATTAACATTTATATTTGCAGAATTGTAAATTATTTTTTATAATCAGGAAATTTTAACTTTGTGTTTTGAAAAGGATTAATATAGAAGGAGCTGGTGGTTGTAACCCTAGCTGGAACCCTAGCTAGTTGGAGGCTGATATCTGAGTGAAGATCACAGCTTAAAGTCAGTTAAGACAAGAAAGTCCTTGAGACTCTTATATCCACTTCACCACCAAAAAAGGTGGATAGAGCTGTGCTCAAGTGGTAAAGCATCAGCCTTAAAAGAAAAAGTTAAAAGGGAAAGAACACCAGTTTCTGAGTTCAAGACCCACTGACAGCACATAGAGAAAAAAAAGAAAGTAAAGAAATAAAGAAAAAAATATATAATTTACTATGCAATTATGTTTAAATACGCTAAAATAAAAATGTTTTCAAAGTAAATTATTTTTTAAAAAAATGAAGTTTAGATTCTGTGTCAAAATAGGTATAATAAATTTGGTCATTTATTTTTGCCTATTTGAAAGAAATCTTACTGATTTAGATTGATGTTTCAGCCTGAACCATTATATTTAGTTCTCATATTTCCAAAATCAGTTTTCCTAGATGTTTGGATAAAAATATAATTTAATGCAAAATTACCCTAATAGATTAAGGTACATACCCAGGAAATAAATAATTGCCAATTTCAAGTTATTTCTGCCACCAAAAATACAAGCATATTACAACTAACCATTAAGTAGTTATTGATTAGTTAGTATAGGGCTTTATGGGAGAAAGAAATACAAGACCCATTAAAGTTATTACAAATGCCAGAATGGCACTTAGTCAATAGTTTGGACAGAGGTATACCTAAGAATAGGTAAAGATGGACAAGAACAACAGTGGGGCATTTTATTTTGCAAAATTTCAAAAAAAGTGATTTTCTAAGACCAAAGGACTCCATTGGACTTAGTAAATTTATAAAGATAGTACTGTGTACTGCTTTCATTTTGTCATTGTCACTGAAGCCTTCTTTCCACAATAGCTTATTGTTCACATTACAAAGTCTTCAGGGTCTTCAAAATTAAACTGACAAGACTTTTTCTTTTTAAGTCTGCATGAGAGGGAACACTTTCCCTTACTCTCAATATGCCTTTACAGACTTCTCCAATAATTGTAGTCATTTTGATAATAGAAAATCACCATGACAATGCAATGATTTTACAAAGAAAAAGAATGACAGTTTCCCTTCTACTTTTCAGAAATGTTTTATAATATGATTTGAGATTGGCTTAATGGAATAGGCTGAAAGAAGAATCAATTCTTACAAAGTGACACTCTGTAATAAAGAACACCTACACTTTTCTGAGCAATACATCCATTCCCACTCATTCAAAATGTTATTATTATTACCATTAGAATCTTCCCTAGAATAATTTTTTGACAGGGAAAATATAGCTTTGTTTAGAATGCATTGACACTGTCAGTAAAACAAGCAATAAAATATAAAGAGTTGAAAGTCTTGTTTTCATACTTTTACAACTCAGGTTCATCTAGCTTTCACTAAGGGAATGGGTTGCCTATCATAGTTTGTTTATGCAACAAATATGTATTGTGATTTTACTGCGCATGTCCATGCATTCTATTGTATGTTGGTGACAACAATAGCCAAGACAGATAAGGACAATGCCCACATGATACAGACACATTTAGACAATGAATAATTATTATTATTAATTATAATAAATAGGGAAATTATCTTTTACAATTACTAAGAAGAAAAAATACTGCTTGTCAACAAACAAAAACAAGGACTTAATTTAGATAGAAATTCCTGAACCCTTAAAGTTGCCAAAGAATTTGCCAGAGCAAGAGTTAGAATAATATTCCAAAAGGCAAGGTCCAGGGTGTCATAACCAAATCTAAACAAAACATCAAGCTCAGGTGAAGACAGGAGGAAAGGCAGAATAGCAATTTAGGGTCTTTGGGTCCACTAGTCAAACTAGAGAATTCTGACTTTGTCCAAAGAGCAATTGGGAGTTTCTGATGGATAGGAAGCAGCAGAATGATAAAACGTTAATTTATGTTTTCTGAGGATGATTTTTGTCTACTCTCAGAAGGGTGGATTGAGAGAACGCACCAAAACCAAACCTCTTCAGCTATTTCCAAGTCATTCCATAAAACAACCCTGCCATACTTGATGACATTCCTTCAGAGGCGCATAGCCAATGACATGGCACATGTGGCCATTCTGAAACTTACTGCCCAGCTCAGCACTTGGCTCTACTTTTGTCTGTCCCTTGTCCCCTATTTTCCAGGCTTCTCACCTCTTCATTAGTTAAAATATCACCATGCTAAAGGGCGCCTAACTGACTCAAAGTCTAATACCTTCATGAAGGTTTTTAAAGGTTTCTGAAGGTTTGGGGTTTTTTTGCTTGTTTTTGGTTTTTGTTTTTCATTTTTTGTTTTTTTGGCATGAGGCTTGAACTCTGGGCCTGGGAACTGTCCCTGAGCTCTGCAGCTCAAGGCTAGCACTCTACTTGGGATAAAAACATTAGTAAAGAGTATCTTAGGGCTGGGAAGATGGCTCAGTGGTAGAATGCTTGCCTTGCATGCATGAGGCCCTGGGTTCGATTCCTCAGCACCACATAAGCCGAAAAAGCCAGAAGTAGCACTGTGGCTCAAGTGGTAGAGCACTAGCCTTGAGCTGAAGAGCTGAAGGACAGCGCCCAGGCCCAGAGTTCAGGCCCCACAACTCTCTCAAAAAAAAAAAAAGTATCTTGACCAAGATTGAATGTAGAAATATTTTAAAATACTGGATTTGATTTTAAAAGCAATTTCCAGATGTATCTCATGGAGCTGATCTAAAATTATATTTGCATACATACAAATAAAATTGAAATTAGCTATTTTTCTATGTCTATGCTTAATACTGTCCTAAATGTGGGGAGAGGTAAGGGTATTATGATGAAATGCACTAAAGTTCAATATGCATTAGGAAGGAAAAAGAACCAACCCCAGGCCCTAGAAAGTTAAAAAGGATCTATTTCTTAAAAGCATATTTCTCTCCAAAGCTTTCCTTGAACTGGATAATAGTCTTTTTTGTTTTTGTTTTTGTTTTTTGTCAGTCATGGGGCTTGAATTCTGGGCCTGGGCGCTGTCCCTCAGCTCTTCAGCTCAAGGCTAGTGCTCTACCACTTGAGCCACAGCACCACTTCCAGATTTTTCTGTTTATGTGGTGCTGAGGAATCGAACCCAGGGCCTCATGCATGAAAGGCAAGTAATTTACCACTGAGCCACCTTCCCAACCCTGGATCATAGTTTTATCTAGAAAATACAACTATTTTGACTCAGATATAACCTTTCTTACAAAATGCTTTTGCTTATTGTTTGTGTTTTAATTATCACCTAAATGAATTATGTTTCCTTCTGCAGTTGGCCCTCCGGAGTGTTAGAAGTTTGGCCCCTCCTTGAAATGCCCCACAGAAAAGAGCTATCTGATCAAATGGAATCAGAACCTGGGTTCTGCTGAAATTTAACCAATAACTATAGACAGACCACAATATCTCTCTCTCTCTCTCTCTCTCTTTCTCGCAGGGGCGCACGCACGCACGTGCGCTCTCTCGCTCGCACGTGCACATGTCTGTGTGTGTGTGTGTGTGTGTGTGTGTGTGTGTGTGTGTGTGTAAAACTGTGGGTTCTGAAAGTATCATTAAACATGTAATAATAGGATTTTTGTGACTTTATGACTAGCATATTATCTTTAATTTTACCAAAATCATCTCACAAAGAAAGTACAAATCTATATTGGTTTTCTTATGAAATTTTGACTACGTGAAACCATGTAGTCTGAGGTCCCTTGAAACATTGCCTCATTACCCACCTTGATCTCTTTCATGCCATGTTCGACTTCCAGCAGCTGGTGAATTCGGAGAGGGGTAAAAGTCTCCTGTGGGACTGGGCTCCATATTTTCATCTATGGATATAGTCTTGGGTCTTTTGCTGTTAAAATATGACAATAATTATATTAACTGGGATTTATAGGAAGAAGTATAGTATCATTTAACAATAAATGACCTGAACCTGAGATACTGGTTCGTATCTGTAATCCTAACTACTCAGTGGGCTAAAATCTAGAGCACTATGTGTGGTTCAGTGTCAACACAGACAGAGAAGTGCTCAAGACTCGATATCCAAAATAACAAGCAAAAAGTTGGGCTGATGGTATGGCTCAAGTGGTAGAGTGTCAGCTCCATGATCAAGTAAGCTGAGCAAGCATGATGCTCTGAATTCAAGCTAAGTGCCTCACAATCAAAAATATCTGAGAAAATCTTTACAGTGGTGTGTTACCATAAACACAACATAAAATTACTTTGAAAGAATAATAAGTATACATGTATCAACATGAGCAGCAAGCATTTCTAGCTGTTACAGTATCTTATAACAACTGACTAAGAAATACAGTACACATTGTATTTACCTTGCTCAAAAATTCTTCCAAAGAAATTTCAAGTTTTGAAAAGTAAATTCAATGTGCCTTGTCTGCTAATATTAAAATTGTGCTATTAAGATTAAACTTGAGATTAGAATTATGGCTCAGTGGCAGAATGTCTACATAGCAAGCATATGGCCAATTTTAGAACTTAGTCTGCCATCATTAAAAATTGAACTTGATTTGTAATATAATTATCAATATTAATAATGTTTATTTATCTATTATTTGCCTTTGACAAGTGTTCTTATATATTCAGAAATAGTGTAATGGAATACAACAGAACAAAAGCTTTCAAAATCATAAATCTTGACTAAGTTGCTTATTTGTTCTTAATAGAGCACTCCTCAAATTTTCTAAATTCAGTTTAATCATCTGTAAAACGGAAATAATAAACTCTACTTCAAAGGAGTTCGTCAAGAAGATTAAATAAGTTATTAACTATAAAGCTCTTTGTTAAGTGGTTAACATTTAGAAGATACTCATTAAGTATTAGTATTAGCCCCATAGTTAATGATAATAATAAAATTTATGTAGTACTTCACTGATTATAACCTATTACATATATTCTTTGCCTCCTCCTAAAATATGAGACTGCTAATCCTTTATAGTTAAGATCAAGGGAAAAAAGGAGGTGACTGCCAAACTCAAACTAAAAAGTAACATTTAGAATTCTTTTTTTAAACCACCAGTCCTTGGGCTTAACCTCAGGGCCTGGGCACTGTCCCTGAGTCTCTCTGTGTTCAAGGCTAGCACTCTACCACTTGAGCCATAGTTCCACTTCTGGCTTTTTTTGAGTAGGTTACTGGAGATAAGAATCTCACAGAATTTCCTGCCCAGGTTGGCTTTGAACTTCAATCCTTAGATCTTAGCCTCCTCAGTAGCTAGGATTACAGGAGTGAGCCCCCAGTACCCAGCCGAATGATACATTTTAATAAAGAAAATATGACTCATCTTAAAGATTTAAAAATAACTATTTTCTGATATGGGCCTCAACATTTGATATTCTATCATATACTCCCATTAAACAATTAATTTGATTTTAAACAATCAGACACCTGGAAAGGACCTCTGATATCCATGACTTGGTCCTGTCCAGGACACTACATTCTCCAAGCCTTGAAGCCTGTGTATGTCTGAGTGTGTTGATAAATATATTTGTGATTAGTATTTGGCCCAAGGCTCTAAGAGTACTAACATAATTAAAAACTTCTACCTGTGCTAAATTACAATAAGCATCAATAACATTTCATCAGTGTCTTGCAAAAGTATCCAAAGTTACAACTTTTTATTTTTTGCTGATACCAGAATTTGAACTTGCTCAGCTGGCACTATACCACCTGAGCCACACATCCAGTCCAGATTTTTGTTGGTTATTTTGGAAGAAGAGTCTCACAGATTTTTCTTAGCCTGAGCTGAATTTCAATTGTAACCCTCCAGATTGCAGCCTCCTGAGTAGCTAATGAACTAGTGCCTAACCAGAAGTTCATTTTTAATTCTCCTTTTCATCTAATTCTTCTGTGAGTCATCAGAAGTATGGAAAACTTAACATTAGAAAGGCATTATTTTCCTAACAAGGTAATAAAGAGATGTTTTAAGTTCTTAATTGTGAAAGACGAAGTTTCTATGTTGAGTAAAGATCTAAGCTGAGAACATATTCATCCTAGCAAAGTAAACAAATTACTATTCACAGTTCAAATATGGAAAACGTATCATGTATTTAATATTTAATATCTCAGTCTTTTTTAGAGATAATTTTAGTGACAATTGACCCAATTATCTTTTTACAAAATTTAATTGCATGCAAATAATTTGATCATAAAACTGGCCTCAGTTTATAAGCACATAAATATGACTATTCTTCTAATTAATTCGAATGTAGTTAATTTTATATTGAGAAAAACAGTGGTCTAGGGCAAATCTTATTCAAGTATTCTTTTATTTTTAAAAATTGACATAGTGAAAAATATGTTTTGCTTGGGGACTCATTTATGCTTTTATATTTGATAATAATGGACATGTAAAGTCCTAAAAATGAGATAATTCTTTCATGTGTGAGATCTAATTGATAAAAACAAAATAACATATCTAAATATTTGTCAGTTACCAAAAGAAGGCACAAGATAAAATAAATGTCAAAACAAAACTTAAAAACAAAGAAATCTTATTTTTCAACCTCACAGCAAAGATTGGTTCATCAAAATCTCAGAGCAGGTAACACTTTCATTGGTAGCAGAAATTTAACTAACCTCATCAAAAAGCATAACCAAGCAAAAACTCTGACCTAGAATAAGGCCTTTTGATTCTAAACTTTTTCTTTTATTTTTCATGTTTCTTTATCTGGGTGTGCAAAATTAGGCTAACAGTTACAAGGACAGATCAGTTTTACACCAGGGATCACTGACACAATAAAATCATTTCAAAAACTGCCCCCAAATAAGTTAATATGAAGAACTATATTTCATAGCACAGAATAAAAACCATGTTAATATATTTTCATAGTTGTTTTGTCCTCTCAGAAAAGATTTAAGTTCTTAGAACAATAATTATACTCAATTTGAAGATACCCACAACAAATTATACCAAGAAAGACTAAGTAAAACTGTTTTATTTCTTCTTTCTTTATCCACCTACTTTCCTGTTTGTCTACAGATCTAACTTCATGCTCATCTGCATATCTACCTACCTGTCTATCTGCCTATCAACCTACCTACCTCTCTGCATATAGGATGAGAACATGAGAAGCTCCTCTTTCCATTACCTGCTTGGTGGAGAAGACAGCGACCTCTGAAGATTAACCCCGGAGTTCATGTCATGATAGTAAGGTTGGCTTGGGATTTCTCCAATTGGGAAGTTCACTCCAGTTCCCTGGGTTATGGGTGCTGCAGAATAAAATGAAAAGAAACATTGTGACCAACATTCACATTTAACTCTATTCAGATATAAAATCCAATCTTTTTCATGCTTCTGCACAAGAACTTTATCTCAAGGCTTTAATATCCATTGTATGGGGTAGAACTTGAGAACCTTTTTATATCAGATTTGGGCATTTGAGGCATGCAGACTATCTATGATCACTGGTTATCACTTACCCAAATCCCCCTCCCGAACCTTCACTCACTCCTTTATATTGCCTATCACTGTCAGTCATCTCCCTGTCAATCTCAATTAAGTAGAGCATAAGCCCTATGATTTAGCATCAAACAACTTTGCACATGACCAAATCATTGCTAAGTAAGAATGCAGACTGGTTTTACAAATAAATACCTAACATTATTACTCTATGTCAATGCTAACATTAATAGTAGGGTGGATTAGAAATTATATTTATTGCCACATGGTAGAATGTGTCTGTAATCCTGGGAGAGTTAAGAAAGAGGGTCAAGAGTTTGAGGCGTCCTTAGACCACAGAGCAAGTTCAAGGCTAGGGTATACTACCTAGCCCAATCTTGTCTGTCTACCTAACACAAAACACACCATATTTATAGTTATTTGATATAAGTAATGGTATAAGTAAATACTTGATAGAAGAAATATTAGGGAAGGCATATAAATAAAATTTACAAATATAAAATAAAAACCAAGTGGCTTTTAAAATATATATTCAGATTTTTAAAACTGAATGTCCATTATTACTTTGATCAATATTTATGTTTTACTTCTAAAAAAAGTTGATACCACAACTTTATATGTCATTTAAAATATACTAATGGTGTTTTGTATTTTAAGGTAGTAGTTTATATAGCAAGAATTTTCTGAATTTGTCAATACTTATAACTTTAATATGAATTAATATTATGGTAATATTAAACTTAGTAATTAATATTATAATTAATATGTTAGTAATAATTTTTTGAATATATCTAAGAGGCAGCATGCTGTGATGCAATGAACAAAGTCTTGAAAGATGAATAACATTTTCATTGAAGCCCTCTCTGCCACTTGTAAATTAGAAACAAAGGTGAATCTCCATTTATGATGGGTTTGCAGATTCAATGAGCAAAGGAGTAAAAGCCCAGCCTCATAACTAGTGCATCATTTATGTTAACCAAATGTGAGTTCACTTCCTTCTTTTTTTCTCCCTCCGCAAGTTTCTTTCCTAGTAGAATAGGAGTGGTTAATAAATATGGGGCAATTTAAAATGTGCTAAAAACTAAAGTGGTAAGAACGAACCAGTTTTCTGGGTTTATTCATCTGGATGCTATTGACCATGTCCACTTTGGCAGGTATTATAGTGGATACAAAACAGTTTCTAATACTCCTGCCATCAGAGGTAGTATGTATCAAGCTAGGTAAACAAAACACTTGTATAAAATACGTAAGTAAAATGATAGTGTGGATCACAATGCAACTACTCCAATGAACTATGTGGGCAATACATGCTGTAGGATTCCCAGGGAAAAAGATTCCATGAGGGACTTGAATGGTCTGAGGTGTTTGTAGAAAAGTCATATATGGTACTGGTCTTTGGAGAATAAGCAAAGTATTAAAAGGAAGACAATTATGAACTAGGGTTGTTAGTAAGAGCAAAGTCAAGGACAGAGATGATGTGCAAAGTAGAGAAAGGCAGCTGTTACCAAAGGTAACAAAAGGGCAAATGGTATTTCTTCACTTTGGGGCCTTCAGAAGCTCCATTCTCTCTACTGAAGTACAGAATTCCAAAGACCTTGAAATACACCCGAATAACACAAAATCTGCTGAAATCCCCTTTCTCCTAACTGCCTCCAGCTGAATGGAAAATTCCCAAAGGACTATAAATTATCAATTTTTATTTATTTTTTTACCTAGAGTATTAAATAAACAAGACAGGTACCGGTTAATCATGCCTGAACCCTAGCTACTCAGGAGGCTGAGATCTTAAGATTGCAGTTGGAAGCCAGCCCAATTGTGAAAGTCTGTGAGAACGCTTATCTCCAATTAACTAGCCAAAAGCCAAAAGTGGCGCAGTAGTTCAAATGTAGAATACCACTCTTGAGCAAAAAGCTAAGGAACAACGCCCAGGCACTGAGTTCAATCACCAACACTATCACTAAAAATTAATTAATTATACAAACATCCTAAACATATTCATTACTATTTTCAGGTAATCTGTATTTTAATATGAGGTAGGTCAAAATTAACTTGAAATATATTTAAGAAGTTCAGAAGTTGCATGCTTTACTGCAGAAAAGTAATTAAGAAATGTACAAAGAACATCTCTCTTTTCCTATCAAAACTTTAAAAATATATACACAAACTTGTAGATGATATGTCTTCTGTTAGACTGTTCATTTTATATAAAATACTTTTAACATCCTTCTAGCCCAGCATATTTGTATACCATGTGTATACTGTGCGCCTGATGATTTATTTGACTTCAGTTATTTGAACAACCGATATAGTTGTTTGTTATGGCTTGAGATATACCAGAAGCCGAAAAAAAAGTGAGGTCAGAAATCTCACAATAGCCACATACTTAAAATTTATTATCAGGTCTATGTTTTATGTGATATTAGAAGTAGGGTATGTGTTAAAAATAGACATTTGAAGATTTCAGGGAATGTGAGTGATGTATCTGGCTTCCTACATCAGAATTAATTATCATTTAGACAACCAAGTTACTAATAAAAAGCTGAAAGGTATATTTTGGAAACAGTTTGTAAATTAATATTGTGTAATAACTGGGCAAAGACTTGTCATTCCTCTTGGATATATATGTTCAATAGTCAACAAACTTTACTTGGCCATAAAAATTATGGGTATAATAATAATAAAATGATCATGAAAAATTCTTCAGAAAATTCTTCAGTTCTTAATTTCGTTCTAGAAGAACTATTCTAGAGTAATAATAGACAAGATAGCTACAGAAATAAATTCTATAGCTGGACCTGCAAAATGTAATATATATATTCTGCCAGTAATAGTAGATTATATGGCCAAAATACTAAAAGACACACAATTTATTTAGTGACAAGAAGACTGTGTGACAACAGCAAATCTAGGTCACAGCTTCCTGATTACAAGATTCTGGAAGAACTTAGAGTAGATGCAAAGATGAGCATCAGCACTTCTTCGCAGATTGCTGTAAGAAAGCTGAAAGCTGCAAATCATGTTTAAGAGGTTACCAATCCCCTCTTAGAAAAAGAGCTCCAAAGAATCAGACTGTAAGGGTTAGAGGTCAAACTTTAATCTCGCTTATTGTTCTCTCCAAAGACTGATCCTAAATCAACTTTTCAGATGGAGATAATATCATTCAACAAAGAGATCACTATCCTAAAACTGAACAGTGTCATTAACTTACGTCAACATACACATTAGAAGGTCATATGATAGTAAAACCTTAGAGCACAGAACCATTAAAATGCCACAGAACCCTAAAGAAGCTAGAATTTGTGTTATATAGTACAAGGGTTATGCTCAAGTTTATGTTGACTTAGCAAACTATATTTCATAACCAATAAAGTTCAATTGTATAAACAAGATTTTATGTGAATACATTAAAACACTTGAGAGAAAAAATTCTCAAGCATTACAGAGATGGCTATTTTCACACAGAGGAGAAAATAAATATTTGTTAAATAAATTAAGGAATGAATATGTATAATTAATGTACTAATTACTAATCAGTAATGTTTGTCATGACAAATAACATAAAAATCTCTAAGAAATGACAGTATAAATTAAGAATGTGAATGAGTGAAGTATGCAAAATTTACCTTGCTTCTGAACTGTTTAGGAGCTTTTTTAACCTACTTTTTGAAATTCAGATTTTTTTTCAAATATCACTGTGAGCTTTTGAAAGTTCCAAAGTGGTTCTCTTCAGACAGCACTTAACATAATGCTACCTATAATTAGGTACTAAATAAATATTTTCTGACAGATGACTCTACTGCCCTTCTCAAGATGGATGTGAATGCATCATGGCGCTGGAAGTACAAATTTAGGTTTTTCAAAAATGGCATGTGCCTCAGAACTTTCTACTAAAGTTAAACAGGAAAATACATACACATGTGCCTTCAAGTACCTCCTGTCATATATGATTCTAGAATGTGGTAGTGAGGTATATTCCTTTTCAAATTAAAAAACAACTGATCTGAAAAAGCACATAATGCTACATGGCCTTAGTCAATTGAGCAAACCATCGGAATCCATCAAATACATTCCCTAGATTACAGGAACAATAGTGTTCAATTTTCATCTCCCATTCTGTTCCCCAAATAAAGGGGAATATGTATTTATTCCAGAATTATATGTATGTATTTATTCCAGAATTATGTATTTATTCCAGAATTATGCCAGAAATGATGTTACCCAAGGTCTTAAATGCCCATGGGTATCATTGGTAGACCTGGTGTTTGTGCTCAACACTTAAGAAATCTGAGTTATTGGAGAAAATACATTACAAAAGGCATTGTCACCTACTGGCTTAGAGATTACTTCACTAGTCACTACCTTAAAATACTGTGTAGTTTTATGCTTATTAACTTGCTCTCTCTTTACTCATTTAAGATGATTATAATTCTTGTTCATGACTTCTAGATTTGCCCCAAATGAGAAACACAACTTAACGAATATCTTGTAAATAACACCATTTCAAAAGGAATCACTCTCAATCAAAACATATCACTCAAAATTACATAAACAGGGCTAGGCATGGTGGTGTATTGCTATAATCCCAGCTACTGAGGAAGCGGAGATTGGAAAGACTGAGGTTGAAGGCCAGTCTAAGCGAAAAGTTGGATATACCCTATCTCAATTAACAAGTCAGGTGGGGTGAATCTCATCTGAAATGCCAACTACCCAGGAGGCTTACGTAGGAGGATCATCCTGGGCAAAAACATCTATGAAACTCTATTTTAAAGGTATCTAAAGCAAAAAAGGGTTGGGGGGCACATGGTCATATGTGAGAGCACCTGATTAACAAGTACAAGGCCTGAATGAAATTCGAGTATTCCTAGAAAAAGCCCCAAAACTCAAAATCCAAAGCTAACAGAATCAATGTGTTAGACCTGTATCTTGGATATATTTTCCCATATTAGCAAACATGTAAGAAAATTTTCTAAGAAAATGTCTTCCATTTTTAGATAGCCAGCCAGGTGAATAGACTCTAGAAAAATCAGATCCAGACTTCCAGAAATGATGTCTCAGGTGAGGTGGCCAGTGAAAACAATTGGACATTGTTTTGGATAACAATGCTTTCTATCTATATCTAACTACAATCTGCAAAGTTAATTTCTGCATCCCTTTACACTCAGCATGTTAGTGTGTATATCCTGTACATCTCCAACTCCTCCCCCTTCAAAATGTTAGTAAAATGAAAAAGCACTTATCTACAGGAAACTTATGTGGGTTATCATAACAACACAGAGTACATTTAATTAATCACACTTCCTTTTATATAAATGTCCATGTATGGTCACAGAGCAAACTGAATTAAATGAATACTAGTATTGTGGCAATGAGAACAACATTAAAAAGTTGTGTGGTACAGTGGAAAGTTTTGATGATTTCAGTGCAAATTTTAAAAATCAGACAAAGTCACCTATGATTTCAACAAAATACTTGAGATTTTAAAATTAAAACTCTCCTAATATGTAGTTACTGTCCACAAAACATTTGATGCTCAAAAATAGAAAATATGTTATATCATTCCTTGTACTTAAATAAAAAGAAAACAATTTACTTACTTCTAGATACTCTCACAAGTTCTGATACATTGAAGACTCCAGATTTTACAAAACTATCCTCAAGGTATCCTGAAAACAGATATCAAGGGAAAAAATATCAACACAAGCAGGAAGTGAAACAATGATTAAACCCTAGAATGTGATAGCTTTTAGACCAAAGGTTAGAACAAAAGCCACGAATGTTTATAACAAGGACCAGTAAAAGCAAAACTCTAATGAATGTAAATTATGCTTGTTTGAACAAAAGTAAGAAGTGTAGATGCAAAACAACTCCCAGGACATTTTTTTCGTTAACTCTCTAAATGTATGCAATTGGGGTGGTTTATTTGCCATGTCCCACGCACAGAGAATGAAGGTCTGGGACACTCCCTGAATGCATTCTGCCCTGCTGCAGCACCTGGTAGGCTAAAGCCTACCCATTAAAAGGGTGAGGGGGAGGAGAAAAAGGAAAACCACAACCACAATTAGCGCCTTGTTGGAAATACTTCAAAGATCTCTTGAAACCACTGTTCTTTCACAAATCCTACCCTGATTAAAGAAAAATGAGCTGTTGTTACCAAAACTCCTACCCTTGTTCCAGGGTCACCAGGAACACAAAGCAGAAGTTGTACACACAGCAAATACGTCTTCGCATCAACCTCATTCTGTGTCCTTTTAATATACCTTGCACAACTTCAGGGCTTTCCAGACTCTTGCTACTATGTCTTCAATTCTCATTATTTGAACAACTGGAAATTTCATTCAGCAAATGACAGGGATTCAGGCCTCTAAGTATGCCACATGCTTATGTGACCGAACACAGGGGCCACAGTGGTCCACATCGCAGGAGCCTGAGAAAGTTCAGTTGTGTTTAGTAGCTGATCTAACTATATCCAGCACATGTCAAAAATATCCTTCAATTCTCATGTAGGTCACGGGAATAGAACTAGGGTGTCGAGAGAGAAAGTGGCTTAGGAGACTGGATATGGTTTATTTGGCTGCCCTTGGAAGACAATATAAAGGGTCTAAAAATCCTTGGAATTGAAATACTTGCGGGGGGGGGGGGGGGGGGGGGGGGGGGGCAGGGGGAACAAAGGGTAATGCTACAAAAACTGGCAATCTTGGATTTTCCAGAGCTTTAGGGATGACCAAGGGATTAGATTCAGGTCATGGAGGTGAGGCTGGGTGCTTTAGCAACACAGAGCATTTCAAGTCAAGGAGCTGGAATCTGAATCCTGGCCAATTTACCAGTTATGAAATCTTGGCCATGTTATTAGACCTCATTGTGTCTCAGAGACCTCATCTACAAATTAGAGATAATAAAATCACCTACGTTATTGGGTTATTATGAAAACTAAGTTACATAAAAAAATATAAAAACAAACTACAGTAAGCACAATACAAATGTGAACAATAATTTAAGATTAGCTAGACAGCCAGTACTTAGCCTTATACTGAATTACACACTAAACTCTAAATGGGCCCAAATAATTGGTAAATTCTTACTTAGAAAATTTACCATAACAAAAGCCACCATATTGCTTTTTAGCCATATATCATATACATGATAAAACCATTCACTGGCATCACCAGACTGGATAGGAAACCATTCACTCCAATCATGTAGGAATCATGTGGGAATACTATTTCATATCCACTCGTCCCTACTCTTTAGAAACAGAATGAAAAAGGAGCAAAAAAGAATCTACAAGATCTCAGTGATAAAAGCTAGTCTCATATTAAGTCCCTACTCAAAGAACATATATGATACACTTTTCAAATTTTATGAAATACTTTAAATAATTCTAGGTATAGAGAGTGTGACTCAGTGATACACTTTTAAGAAAGTTCTTGAGCTATTAATTCCTTACCAGGTTTAATCAATTTCAGTAATTACTGAGTAACTTCTATGTAACCAGCACTGTACAAGGTGCCTAAAAGTTGTGACTACAAACAGGATACTTGACTCGCTTTCCTGAGTTGAAAGCAAAGATGTGTTTTTAATTTTCCACATCCTGTAAGTTATTACAGATAAACATATTTCATTTTAAAGAAAGAAGAGCTTGCTATACTTTATTTTATATATGGTAAACTTGGAAAAAAATAGTAAATAGCAAAATCTTATTTACAAGTTTTAACCTCATCTTTTGGTAGTGTACAGATACCTGCCCTTGTGTTTCCCCTGTAGCTCTCTCTGATCAGCTGTCTTCTTTCTGTATATCCCTCTCAACCACCACTCACTCCATATACTACTACCCCACTCTCTCTTCCCCAAGCTTTCTCCAAGACGCAGAGAGAAATATCTTCTTCCCTCTGTACTCAAAGCACACCTAGTTTATATTTATTTTACACTTTACACATTCAGAATTTCCAAGATATCTGTTTTCAAGTTTTAAATACCTTATTGGATTATCAACTCCTTTAATTTAGAGAAGTGACAGGGTTTAGTTCATCTCTCTATCTTCCTCAATAACAGACTCACTGTCTATAAGCAAAGTAACTACAAAATCAATGCAGAACACAAATTTTGAAAAAAAAATTTTTTTTCTTTGCCAGTCCTGGGGTTGGAATTCAAGGCCTGGAACTCAAGGTTGGAACTCCAGGTCTCTGAGCTCCTTTTTGTTCAAGGCTAACACTCTACCACTTGAACCACAGTGCCATTTGGGCTTTTCTGTTTATGCGGTATTGAGGAATCAAACCCAGGGCTTCATGCATGCAAAGCAAGCACAAATTTTAAAATCAACACTTTAAAACAACTGGCACTGAAGTATCTCAGAACCCACTGCTAAAATACAATTCCCAGGAGCCCCACTGGGTTCCATACCTTCATGGAGCATAGGGACAGTAGACTGAAGGAAGAGTTCCCAAGGACCAGTGATAAGGCCTATTGACAAGAGCCAAAAGAACTGATGGGTGGGTGGGAATCAAGCAACAGAATAGCCTGGGGTCTATGGTGGCACCTTCATGCACCTGTACACATGGCACTACCTGAATAATGAACAAGGATTACTCAGGAGTGGAAAGGAAAAAGGAAGAGATTGAATAGCACATTACTTGGATGGAGACTAGTGCTTGTTGAAGCATGCAAGAGACAATACTTGAGGACTCTGGAAAAATAACTGGAGAGAAATCTTGCAATGGGTCACGAGCCTTGCAATAGTACAGAGGCAGACTCGGGGAAAAGTCATTAACATAAAACCACCTGTCCCCTCCAGGCTTCAGGGATCTTTAAGAAACAAGGCTCTTACATGTTTCACAGATCATTGTAAATCTCAGAAGCTGATACAAAGGCCAAGGATCTTAACGCAATCTGAAGACATTGAGATAGTAAATTCCCTTGATCTACCAAAGGAAATATGCGCATCTTTGAGGAATAGCAGCTGCTTAATGGTTACTGAGCAATATCACACCACAGCTTAAGCCAAGAAGAAAAGAATAACTTTGCATTTGTGCAATGTTGTATTTACACTACATGTATGCCTTAAAAATAAAAATAAAACTGAGTAGGAAATAAAGAGCTTCACAAACTGAAAAGTCTCAAAGGCAATATCAAATTATATTATTTTACTTCTTTTTTTATTCTTCCCAAACAAAAGCCACAGTAAATCACTACTCAGAAGTTAATATAGTGTTTAACCTCTTTTACAAACAATAACAGAGGGACACAATGGCATATCTAACTGTTAATATCTCAAATTATAATCAGCACCATTTGAATGTTAAACAACATTTACATAGAAAATCCAAAGGAAGACTGATAACACTCATTTCTATGGTCTACAGTGTTCTATTCTTGAAATTAAAAAAAAAATGCCAAAAGGAAAGCAGTTATTAAATTCATGAATGCTGTCTTCAAGTATCTGAAGGACTGTTAATGTAGATGGCGGATTACACTTATTCTGCATAGTTCCAGGAGCTGTTTAGTTGGCTCAATGAACACATTTGTTATCCAATGAGAAAAGTCCTAAGAAGGAATGTGGAACTGTGAAAGTAATAATAAGCAACACATGTCCAGCTATTGTGTGGAAACTTTCATAGCCATGAATTCATTCTTCTCATGCAAATTATCCTATGAGATGAGGTGTTTTATTGCCATCTCACAGATGAAGAAATTTCTATCTACAGAGCTAACAAGTTACACAGTGGCTTTAAACACCACTGTATAAGCATTGTCACTTGGGGTGGAAAACTTAGAAAAGCACTTCTGAAGCCTTTGGTGACTCAAAGATTTTACTTTTACTCTTGGACACCTTCCTATACCCCTTTTCTTATATTCTTCCTTTGAGCAGAGAACAGGTGGACATGATTCCAATTGTAAATGTTGCTCAACTCATGAAGAGATGGGTTTACTACACACTAACTTTTGTCAATCTTGTAACATCCACATCTAACCCAGGAGTTTTTCTGTGGTGATATTGTAAAACATAGCTCTCGTCAATTTCTTAACTCATCTGACTGTTCATAGTTAAGGCTGGGAACTTAGGGTATGTGCAGGGTTCAGAGAGATCATTAACAGGGATGGAAGGGCAGACATTGATTAAGATTCATTGTACTCATAAATTTGCATGATGAATTGAAAGTCTTTTGAACAACTACTTAAAGATAATAAAAAAACAAGGTTGGAAATCAATTATGAAATAGAACTATTAAGCGCTGCAATTTTTCTGCAGATTACCAACCTATAGCCATGGTTAATATTATAATATTAATTTAGAATTGCGTTTATCCCTCAATACAAAATGTAAATCCCTGGTAAAAGATTCAATGGTCCTGGGAGGCAGAAATTTATCAACTTTAACATAATCTGATGGCTTAATAGGTTCCAATGCTTTTTCAGTATTTCTTTTGTTTATAAAACTTTTTCCTGCATCTCTAATAGATAAAAATATCTAATAGATAATAGTATCTATTATCTCTACTAGATAAAAAATATGACTGAACTGACCTTTACACAGATATAAACCCATGTCAAACTTCATCAAATTGCAAGCTTCAAATATGCATAATTTGTTGCATTTCAATATTAATAAGCTACAAAACTCTTATTTGTTGCATTTCAATTACATATTAATAAGCTACAAAACTCTTAT